ATGTCTCCAATACTCTCAGCACATGGGAGTTCTTTCTAAGCTTTCTTTGATTATTGTTAAAGTAGGCTGCAATTTAATGGACTTGGTGACACCCTAATCTGCTGAAAACTTGATCACAGCAGAAACTACATAAATGCTTGGTAATGTTTGGCAGTTTGCCTACACTTTCTGATCCAGACTTCTTGTGTAATACCATAATTGTTGAACAATTGAACAGGCTGCAAACAAAACATGATACCCCATAATACAACTTTAAGACAGTCGTAAAATGTTTATTCTTTCAAATTATTAACATTATTATTTCACAAAATTAGATAAGAATGAAAATAAAATCTACTTTTGGATGAATTGTAGTTTAGTTGCCATGGTAACAACCAAATTTATGTAGAACCTTTATATAAGTACAGTGCAATATGGGGTATGGAGGAGTATTGGCAAGAAGTGCAATCAAAACAACAACGAAGTAAAGAATATTTTGAAAGACAACGTGCACCTCATGATAACTTCTATACAGGTATGAGGAAAAGGAAACTTGAAGATGGAAGTAACCTTGTTGAGATGCACATCCGTTTTGTCAAGTAAGTATACTGTATTTACTCTATTAGAAGCAGCCATACAGTATTAATAGAAGCACATAGGGAGCCTAAACAAACAGTTGCATTTATTAAATGCTGGATCATTAAAATGTAGCTAATTTTTACTACAGACACACTTCTGTCTATTAGTTAAGCATATATGGTACTTACAGTGATATGTATGGTTTCTGGTGTGAATTGAGAAGGGAAAAATTTTTGTAGTACAGGAATTCACAGAGTTTTCTCTAGTGCAGGTGCAGATGTGGATCTTGACTTCAGCAAAAATGCATGATTTTCATATATACAAATGTACCTACTTTCAAATATATCTGAATAGTGGCCATTTTTTTATTTGCTTCAAAATTAATTTAAATTAATGACGATTTCAATCAAACTTTGTATGATATAGACTTGCAGTTTTACTTATTTCCAGATTCAATATAGCTGACTGGTGGCCATTATGTGCTTTTGTTATTAATTTTGTGTGTATGTTACGACTTTGATTTGTTCCTGGTTTGCATTTCAGGAAGGACTACAGTCAAGAAAAAACTCCAAAGAGTTACCTGATTGAATATTGTAGAAAACAGAAACTTGCAGAACCAAGTTATAAAACAGTGAGTGAATATGTAATCATCTATTTACTTTTCTTTCCAGTCAATGTGATCATCAAACCACTTTCAGACAGCCCCCTCTATTGGGATTTTCCAACCAATTAGAATATACCTAATACCAATGACATGTAACATGAATTTTTATTGGTTTTTATAGAAATTTTGTCAGATGTAACTAGGACATTTTGAGTTAATAAAGATCAAATATGACATTACCCTGGCTGATATCTTTACATATATTACTATATTCGTGCTGTTGTCATACAGACATATTTTATTTGTTTTCAAATGTTTGTTTTTAGGAAGAGAGACCAAATGACCGCCATTACAAGTCCATTGTCACAGTTAATGAGAATAAATATTCATCAACATACTGGTAATGATATTTGTAATTAACAGATTAAAAGCAATATTTTTTTACAACACATCAGCAGTGTTTTTTGCAATTTTTTTCTTATTTTGTGTGAGTTAATATGATGTGGTACCAAATGAGTAACCCTGTATAAATATATTTACATGGCTTAAACTGATGATAATTACAGTTAAATATCTGGAAATTCGTTCCCTAGCAACCTTTACAAACATGTATGAGTTTATATGCCCATAGAATGAACATGGCAACACATCATTAATTGTTGCTTAAAGTACAAAGCATATACAGGTGGTAAAATTGGTACAATATTGCAGAATAGATATACGTCTTCTCTCTTGCATTATGTAACATGTCTATATTTTGAAAGCTCTTCTTTTTCTTTTGCAGGGAGAAAAGTAAAAGATTTGCTGAGCAGTCTGCAGCTATTGTGTGTTTGAGTTGCCTGAATGAATATGATGGAAATAAAAACTTTGATAAAACAGGGATTCTATCAGCTGAAATAATGCACCATGGGAAAAATGACTGTCATGACAATAGCAAGGAGATAGAGACTGTCGTGAATGTTATAAAAAGTGGTGGTTGTCATGGAAATAACAAAAGGCACAAAACAGAATCCTCAGAACTAATGCCTGATGAACAACAGTATCATAAAGCACAGGAATTAAACACAAATGAACATCAGGTCTAACATTCAAAAAAGTCAATCAAATAGGACATAGTGAAGAGTCATGTGACTATTTCTGTACATTTTCAAATTTGGCAGACTCATCTATCAGTTTCGCTATCAGGGATACATGCACTAGTACCAAATGCTGCCGTAAATTGCCCTGGGCCGTTAAACGGCAGTTTTTTTAAGGTGATATTTTAATCGTTCCTGATGCCTAAAAGCTTTATCGTAGTCATTAACGCCTATTCAAGAGTATTGATGTTTATTGCGACTAACGTAAATGGGTGAGCTTCGTTTTGACAGTGAGCTGTTACCACTGTAAACAATGTTAAATTATTCTTCAAATGCTCAGTTTATCTTTTGAAAATAAGTTGAAATTTATTTGCATTTCATAAAAATTCAACAAATTTATTTTTTGCATGTTATTATAATCATTATTAGGTAATAATCAACAATTGTGAAGTGCAGCATGACCGGATTTCGCTACCACAATCATTTGCTACTAAGCATTACAGTTCTGTTTGTTTTTATTTTAAACTTCCTTTATTAATAAAATAAAAAAAATAATTATATTTGGTGCACAAGGTTCGTTAATGTGATTTTTTTGGGAGAAAGATGTGTTGGGTGACAATGTAATGAAATTTTAGGTCTACTTTTTTAATCCAGCAAGAAAAAAATGTATAAAATTTTTAATTAGCTTCTGCAATAGTTTTCCATTTTGGGTGGTCTAACTGCCGGCATTGAAAGTTGACATAGGTGGATTTTCAATGATAATATAAGTCTCTAAAATATTGTGATGATTATTTTTTGAAATTTTGAACCCCAATTAAGGGCCCACCAGCCGTGAGCCACCAGTCGCTCAGGGTTATTTTTCGGATGGGGGAATTTACAGCAGAATCCAGTAGGAATGCAGGTGCCACTGCAAACAACACTTATTCTCCGCATTTGGAAATTAACGCATTTGTTTATTGCTATTAGCAACTAACTATAAATTAGTAATGTGGACTATCAATAAACAGTTACTCTTTTGGTCAATCTGAATTAAAAAATTCTGAAAAAGTCTCAAATTGCCATACATTGCAAAGTTCACTTGTGATCATTGACGCTTTGTAACAAAAGAGTAGATGGATGGATGGATGGATGGATGGATGGATAGATAGATAGATAGATAGATAGATAGATAAATAAATAAATTATTCTCAATCTTGGACAGAAATGTGTAGGTAATTATAACGAGCAGTTATGAAAGTGAACCACAGCTCCCTGAAGATTATTTCCTGACAGCTGCTTTTATGAAGATTTAGGTTAGGTAATAGATTGCAGGTTTGCACTGTGCATATCAATATTAGTGTGGTGGCTTACAATTAGCATAAATGTGTAATGAGTTTACAGAAGTCATGATTGAACAGTGGGTCATGTGACCATAAAGTGGTATAATTTGTCATACACAGAGTAGCAACATTACATTACACCTAAACCTTTAGACCCACATTACTAATCAATGTATGTTTACTTTGTATTGGTTAATGATATCAAAATATGCTTAGACCCACGCAATCAATCAATATATGTTCACTTTGTATTGGTTGATATCAAAATATGCCAAGACTCACATTACCAATCAATATATGTTCACTTTGTATTGGTTATTGA